TCTGGGCGTTTGTCGTCGGTTAAAAATCCGGTGGCTCGAGCAAACCCGCCTGTGAAACGCGTTTCAGGCACAGGGATTGGTGCTCTGCTCTGCGTGTGGCTGCTTGGCCGTTCCCCCTGACATTTAAATGGAGGCCCCGCTCTCGCATCTGCAGCAACTGTGCAGAAGCAGCCACTGCCGACAGTTTTCTGCAAGCACTTACGCTATACCTTAGATCCCGAGACAGTACAGTGTTTCTAGTAGATCCGAGTCAATCGCAATGCGAACACGCACCAAGGGATTATTGCCCTTATCATGAAGGATCTCGTGCCGGAAATCCGCCAACGTGGGCGGAGGGTTCTGTTGACAGCACACATGACATGGTCTCAGGGACGAAATAAATAAAAGGAAATATCTACTTGTCGATCGACGCTGTCGTGAACAAGGAGTTCAATGGGACAAGGACTGAAGTTGTTTAGTGCTATCTGTCGTACGTCGCCAGATCGAGATGAAGGCCCCGAATGGGATCATGATTGCGTCGGGAAGCGGTTTGCCAAACCTAAACCTGCTCCTCGTGCCAAATTGGGCACGTCCTGAGCCTATCCCATTGTGCCATTCCAGCGGTTACCCTGAGTCGGAAACAGCCGGCCCTCTGCCTCTCGTCGTCCACATATGATACGGCGCTGCGGATGCAAGGTACGGCATTCGTACTCTACGCTGTTGTGCCTCCACGAGGGGGAGGTAGACTTCTTCCTGATCCTCGTGATGCCGCAAGCCCGCTCCACCCTTTTCGCCGCGATCGCCAACATCAACCGGGAACATTTGGCAGAAATATTTATGCAGCAGCAAAAAAGGCCTGGGCCGTCAAAGACGATCGACAGAGTGCGCAAAGTGGCAAACGGGCACTCGGGTAGAGTGGCTGGCACTTTAAGGTCGTGGCAGGAATGGCTGTGGATTTAAGCAGGTGCCCGCGGTCCCGCTTCTTTTCTTTAGCCCAGGCACAAGCCCCCGGGACAACGTTGAGTGATCCCTGTGGCGCACCCTTAATCACTTCGTTAAGGCTCCCCAGTGCTGTCAGGGGTACAACCAGCCAATCAGAAGCGCCGATCCGGTCGCTGTAGTACCTGTTCGGGAATGAACCCCCCCTCAGACCAGGGGTAAGCCCCCCTGCCAAGTCTTCCTCGCAGTCCACTTGGGCCGCCCAAAAACGGGATATCTTCACCACATGTTTTACCTTCCCCTCTTAGGCGCTCCCTTCTCTCTCTCACCTTCTTGTGCGCCCTGTTTCCCCTTCACCTCCCCAGTCACTCTTTTTCACTGTCCATCCTTTTGGTGATATTTATTGGCCTTTTGTGCGTCCATTCTCTTCGACTTCGGTCCATTCACTTGACAACGTCGACGTCGTCCTTCATTCATTAAACGGGGAGAGAGGAAGAGAAAGAAAAAGAAAAAAAAAAGTGTTGACCGCACGTTCGTTTCTTGAATTCGGAGCTCGCCGTCAGACGACCTCCGCCGGCCTTGATATTATTTGTGCCCATCAGCTTCCCGTCAGCTTCCCGCCATCCTCGGCTGAGAAACCCGAGCCCAAGCTTTTTATTCGACTTCGTCCTTGTGCTCGGAGCCTGGTGTATCCGTTGTCTTCGGCATTCCGATCGGCAAAGATTTGATCTCGCGGGCGACTATTGCAAGCAAGCAAGCAAGCAAACGAAATTGGCAGTCAAGTTCCTTGGGCGTTGGATATACGACGAGCCTGTTTGTCTGTCGACTCGTGCTGCCGGCCAGGATTGCCAGCTGCTCGAGTTCGAAACAGCGGGAGATACGACAACAGTGCAAAGGGCCGTCTGATCTTGAAGCACCTTTCATATCTGCCTCACTTCCATCCGATCGAGTTTGCCTTTGGCCCCTCGCACGAGATTGACCTGGGAGGAGTCCGTGGTGCCTGGTATTGTGTCGAATGACCCCATCGGCCGATTTTGAAGGTGAACCGGCGCGCTATTGTTCCCCTCGACCCGGCACACTTCCTGCGCGAGGATAACTCGTCGGAACGTCACAATCAAAATCGACTGCACTTGCGGCTTCTCGAAACTCCAACCCACCCCACTTTCTCGCCAACTCGACTCCCGAGTCCGGGCAAGGAAACAAATCGTCCGACCTCTTCGCACCTTCTTCCCCCGCTCGCCGCTCGTCAACTCACGCGGCATCTACCTTACATACGTAGCCTGCCGCACCCTCCCGCTCACCCCCACTCCCCCTTCTTTCTGCATCTTCATCAGCCTGTCTTTTTCAAAACATTCGCCATGAGAACTAGTGTCTCCTTGGCGGTCCTCGCCGCCGTGAGCGGTGCGACGGCCTTTTGGCGCATGGAATGCCACGGCCGTCTTGGTATTGCCCGCATTGATCCTCTGATCTCGCCTGGCGAGGTTGCACAGCACGCGCATTCCATTCATGGGTCCTCGGGTAAGATCATACCCTACTGTCTCGGGGAGGGCCCACAGGCTCACTCCAGCCTATTTTCTCCATGTCGCTAACATAAGAGCGCTTCCATTAGGATTCAGCGAGAGCGCTACCTACCAGAACCTGATAGATGCAGACTGCACTTCTTGTGCCGTCACGCAGGACAAATCTGTCTATTGGCACCCCTCGCTCTATTTCCAGCACGCCAATGGAACCTACGAGTCTGTCGAGCAAGTTGGTGGCATGTTGGCGTGAGTAAATGTGCCTCGAGCTCAGGGCAACAAGATTCTAACATTCACCCAGCTACTACTTCCTGTATGGCGACGATGGCAGCAAGGATTCCAGCATCACGGCGTTTCCGAGCGACTTCCGAATGATCGCCGGCAACAGCCTCCGTCGCAGCTACTCAATTGCAGGATACAGCGCCTTTGACGCAGACCCCGAGAAGTCATTCTGGTCCAAGCTTGGTCAGACATCGCAAACCGACCTCGCCCAACGAGCCCTTGGCTTCAACTGCCTCAACTACAATAAGCAACCCGAGGGATCACTTTATCGTCATGTCATGCCTGAGAAGTCCTATCTTGACGCCAATTGCGCCGACGGAGTGCGGTTCGAAATCATGTTTCCTTCATGCTGGAATGGCAAGGATCTCGATACAAAAGATCATAAGTCGCACGTTGCGTACCCGGATCTCGTCATGAACGGAGTTTGCCCTCAAGGATTTGACGTCAAGCTGCCGGGTCTCTTTTACGAAACCATTTGGGCTACAAACGCATTCAATAACGTCGATGGCCAATTTGTGATTGCGAACGGCGATGTTCATGGTATGTGGATACAACCTACGATTAGTTCACGGCCCAACGTACTAACAAACTCGCTTTTGCAGGTTTTGGCTACCACGCCGATTTCATGAACGGCTGGAACCCGGACTTCCTTCAAAAAGCCGTCGACACTTGTACCGACGGATCTGGCAAGATTCAGGACTGCCCAATATTTGATATCCAGAGCCTTGAAGACCAGCAGAAGTGCAGTCTGAAAGTGCCCAAAGCGCTCGTCAGCGAAAAGGTCGTGGGTCTTGTTGGCAACTCTCTCCCCGGAGACGTTGCTATCCAGTATGGGCCAGACTCGGCTACGGTTAAGAACCCGGCACTACCAACCACCACGCAGGAGCTACCAACGGTGGGATACTCGGAGGGTGCTCAAGCTACCGGGACCGCCTACCAGCCTGGACAAATATTCAAGGAGTCACCTTCTTCAGCCGCCGTCCCATCTCCATCCGTTTCGTTGTCAAAGGTTGCCGCACTTGCGCAGGCCACTCCTCCAGCCCCAACCGAAGCCCCTGTCGCCCCGGCTGCTGTGGATGATTCCAAGTACGAGGTTGTTAGGACCGATTACATTACTGTTGGTGATGTAGTGAGTATGATCATTGTCAAGGAGGCGGTCGAGTATGTCACCGTCACAACCACCACGGTGACCGCCACTGGGTCAGCGAAAGCACGTCGCGAGGTCCACATGCACCGGCACGCTGGTCGACATGGGCACAACGGGCGCCACCTATCCTGATAGAGTTGGGTTGAGACGTCGTCCTGCTTCTATGTACAGCTGGGCTCTCTTTACCCCTCTATGGCGTGCAATGCAAGCATATACGGGGAGGGAGAGAGATAGAGGACTTCATGACCATGTATGCTTCTTTTTCTTCTTTCCCTGCATCTTGCAGTGGCCCTTTTTATCTGCTTTCCTTTTTCTTTTTCTTTTTACGATCACGGATCTGAACGAGATTCATATCACAATTGATACCACGGAACTCCATGTGAGAGATTTTGGGGGCACAAGGTTTGGAGGATATTCCCGTTCAGGATCTGTGAGAAGGCCCCCTTTTTACCTGTGGGATGGCGAGGCTTGGGATATTTTCCGGGTTTAGCCTTTTCTGCGGCACAGTACCTAGACAGGGAATTGTTGTTGTGGCGACCAAAGAAAACAATGGCAGTGTGTGCACGTGTGGATGTTGCATGCTATGCATTGATTGCAAGCCAGCCAAGGAACCATCATGGGGGAAGGTGTTCTCGGTGTTTTTTTTACTCTTTTCCTTTCCGCATAGGAGATACCCTCTGGTGGGTGGGTGCTTAGGGTTCACGGGCATGAACATGCGTAGTTTTTACCGTTTTGTTCCTTGATGTGTGGTTTTTCGCGGTCCACGTTGTGAGGTAATTGACGTAGTTGACCTCTGAGGGATAACCTCCGCGGTATTCGCACTTCATACATATCCCATGCCAACACCATTTTTGAACAAGCAGAACAACACCTGCCCAGCACAAGTTACATGTTGAATGAGAGTTCTGATCGGCGTTTCTTCTATGCGGTGGTTTTTACAAATAAATAAAACCTCACAGACAGCAGCAATAAGCATCTGGCGACGGGTTAAACCTGCCAAATGGCGATGAGGGTCTTGTGCATTGGGGTAAAAAGGGGTGAACGCGTGGTGCGATGTCACACGATATGCATCTGGATAGTTTGTCTGTCAACCCAGCAAAAAAAAGCAAAGAAAAAGTAAAAAAGAATATTCACATCGTCACCTACAGGATTCGAACCTGTGCGTCCGAAGACACGACCTTAGCAGGGCCGCACGTTAACCACTCCGTCAAAGTGACCAAGTGTGTCGTGAATCTCTATGATTTGATGCCAGTGTATGCTGTTCCACTGGGTTAAGTATGGATCCCCAACAAGTGGAATGGAAAGTGTTTATGTTTTTGTTCTTTCCTCGTTTGGCCTGGTTTGTAAGTGGGCCACTGAAAGCCCCTAAACTCAAAACTCAGACTTACGCAGCCGCGGATGCGGTAAAGTAGGCAGAAATAGGGTCATGCGTCTAAAAGTAGCGCTTTGAGAAGATTCAAAGAAGCTCGAGTTATTGGATTGCCTGTAAATCTTATATATTTCTAAGGTTCAAGTCTTCCATTAAAAATTTCTACCGTCCTCAGATGCTTGGTTAGGATTCCCTGGCTCGAGTACTAAGTAGTGTGTTCTATCTCTTTTCAGTCCTCCTGGCGAGCCAAGTTCGAGTGCAGCTTGTGCTGCCTCATCAACGACATGCTAAAAAGCGCCACGACGGAAATAGCCAGCGCCGTCAGCCACACGCCGCGAAATGCGGCCATGAAAGACGCCATGACGCCGTCATGCCAACCCTCTGGGAGCCTGGACAGCTCGCTGAGATCGTCGCGGATGCGTGCAATCTCCTCGGCAGCACCAGGCAGATCACCGAAGCGATCCCAGAGCTGCGTCTTGAGGATGTTCTGGTAAACGGCCGAGGCGATGGTGATGCCGACAGTGGCGCCAACGGAGCGGAACGCATACGTAGCCGACGTGATGACAGCCTGGTGGTCATGTTCGACCGCGGCGATGCACGCGAGCAGTGTGACGGTGAGCATACCACCGTAGCCGGCGCCCTGGAGACCCAGCGTGACAAAGGTGATCCAGCCGGCCGAGTTCTCATTCAAGGCCGTCAAAGTGGCGACCCCGGCGGTGAAAACACAGAGAGTGCCGATGCCGAGCCCGACGTACTGGCCAGTACGCTTCATGACGTAGCCGCACCCGATCGAGGCGAAGGCGACGCCGAGTGGGGCGGCTAGCAGGCGGAGGCCGGCCTGCGTGGCCGAGTAGCCTAAGACCTGCAAATATAGGGGTAGGTAGAACATGGTCATCATGGTGACCATGGTGCACAAAAGGCTGGTGATGCAGGCGGCCAAGACGGTGCGGTGCAGGAGCAATCGCACCGGAATGATTGGCTGCTTAGCACGACTCTCCCACCAGACGAATGTGACTAGCATGACAAGAGACAGCGGGATAGAGATGAGGACGAGCGGATCCGTCCAGGGCACCAGGTTACCACCGGCGTTGAGGCCGAGGAGGAGCAGCACCAAGAATGCCACGGTCAAAAATGAGCCGGTGAAGTCGATGCGCGCAAGCAGCGACTTGTTCGAGATCTTTGGGGGCACGTCGACCAAGAAAAACACAATGACGGCCGAAACGAGTATTATCGGCACCTGGGATAGAAAGGCCAGTCTCCATCCCCACGACGACAGGTCGTTGATGAGTCCGCCGAGCACGCCACCGATCATGGCGCCGGATCTGCATTTCAGTCAGCTAAGTACCAATCAAGATATGCACTTGAAGACGTACCCATAAGCAATATTCCCAATGCCCTGGATGACGCCGCGCTTCCTCAGGGGCACCAGGTCGGAAGCCAAGAAGGAGCTGATGCTCATCAGGCCGCCGCCGCCAATACCGGCGACGACGCGGCCAAAGATGATGGTCTCCTGGTTCTGGGAGAGGCCGCAGATGAGGTTGCCGGCGGCGAACATGACGTTGCTGAAGACGAGCCCCGGGCCGCGGCCAAAGATGTCGGTCAGGCGCCCCGACAGCGGCTGGCAGCTGGCGTTGGCGATCAGGTAGGCCGAGGCGAGCCACGACAGCAGGCTGAGCGAGTGGAACTCGCTCGAGATGGGCGCCGAGAGGGTGGCGATGATGCTGGCGTCGACGGCGCCGAGGAAGACGCCCACGTACGCCGCGCCAAGGGTGATGGCCAGCCGCGTCGTCGATATCTCGTGCGCCAGCACGGTAACCTCGGCCTCGTCGTCGTAGCCGTTGTTGTTGTTGCTGTCGCCGTTGGCACCGCCGATAACGCCATTGGTCCCGTCGTTGGACGGGGGTTTCGCCAGGCCCGTCTGCGACTCACTTGCAAGCAATGGCGTAGTCTCGTCGCTTCTCTCGGGAGCAGCAGAGAACGAAGGTAACACCTGCTGCACTCCAGGCTCGGGAGCTAAAGTCGCCATTATTTCGTGAAATAAGCCCGGACGGTAAGGCAAGACAAGTTGTATGGATTCGAGCCGTTCAGAAAGATGCTTTGTGACTCAGGGCCGAAACGCTGAACTGACGGGAGCTTTGACTGCAAAATGTCTTTGCCTTGCAGTGCAATTGGACCTTGGAAAAGGAACAAATAAACCAATTGCTAAGGAAAAAGAAAACCGACAAAGCAGGAAATCGCCAACGCCAACATTGAGCTTATCAACTCTCTCTGCGTCGCCCAGCCTTGCTGACCTAGAAAGGTCCAACAACAAAAACCCTGGGCCGTTGGGTTGCAGAAGAAGCCAAAGGGAAGGCAACATCCGCTTCAGGTACCCTGTCAATCAATCCCGCCCCTTCCCCCTGCCTGCCGCGAATCGCGCAATTTTAGTGGTCCAGACGCTACTCGTGCTTTAGGAGGTCAGGTTCCCACGGGGCACGGGGCACGAGTAATCCCACAGGGCGGCGACAGCCTACCGGAAAGCCCGGGGGCACCACCGAAAAACGCCAAGGCGAACGGGCTTTCAAGGTTGACCGGACCGGAATGTAACTGTTATTAGGTGGTTGGTTTGGCTCTTGTATGTACCTATCCAACGACTCGCCAGAGGAATGAATCAATAACAATGAGTGCCATCAGAGGTGTGCCACGTCCATTCTTCTTCTTGTCGCTACTGTCTCTTGGTTGTCGACTTTCAGCCTTCAACAATAGATCTTCCGACGCATTGCCCTCTCCCTTGCCTCCGTCCATGGAAGACGTTTTCGACTAATGCACAGCATAGCTAGACAAGATCTGATGAATCATCAGCCTGGCCTGGTCACAGTTCTGCAGATGCACTTCAAATGCAGCAGTCGTATAGCATTGCGCATTACGGTAGTTGAGAATGTACTCCGTAGGTGCACATGGTACCTAGTTCTAGGCTGATGGATTCTCGGTCGACAAGGACTCGCCATCTCCCCCAGCAGAAAGCAACAGACCCCGGGATTCCTAGATCAACTTCCAGGTCCCGTCCGTTTTCTCGATCCTCACCTCTCTGTGCTCGTCGAGGCTCCGCCGGCCCGCCTCGAGGATGGCCGTCGTGGCAATGGTGTTCCTCAACGTCGGGAGGCCCTTAGCGTCCAGGTCGGCCGGCTTCAGCGTGCCCGCGTTGACCGCGCGGCACCCGTCGACGAACTTCTCCATGGAGACGTAGCCGTAGCCGCTCTGGCCGTTGAAGTTGCCGTCCTCGTCGGGCGCGTACCGCATGTAGAAGGGGTTGTACCACATCAGCTGGCCGGCGGCGTCGTCGGCCACGTCGTAGCCGCGCTTGGCCTGGTCGATGCGGAGCTCGCCGCCCGAGGCCAGGTAGTGGAAGTACTGGTTGCTGTGCACGCCGGCTCGCTGCGGCGCCGTCCACGACGCCGTGTAGACCCCCGTCGCGTGCTTGCTCGGGTCTGCGGGCTTCTCCCAGTGCACCAGCAGCGAGATGGTGTCCTCGGTGCCCGCGACGCAGCCGAGGCCGGCCGCGGTGCCCGTCGACGCCGACGCCGACACCTTCGCCGGGACGTAGCCCAGCTGCGACACCATCGAGTCGCATATGTCGACGTGGTGGCTGTTGAGGTAGTACGAGATGTCCGAGTCGACGCCGGCCCACGCCTTGAAGGTCTCGAGCTGCGACTTGGGCTGCGACATGTAGCTGTAGAAGTAGTTGAAGTCGCCCAGCTTCTTGGCCCTGAACTTTGCGTCCGAGTAGGCGGGGTCGTATCGCTTGTGGTGCTCTACGTAGACGTAGACGCCGTGCTTCTCGGCCGCCTCGAGCAGGGCGACGTGGTGCTCGAGGAGCTTGACGGCGGGCTTGGTGATCATGACATGGATGCCGCGCTCGATGGCGTAGAGGGCGATGGGATAGTGGGTTGTGTCTGGCGTGAAGATGGTTATGGCGTCTCCCGGGCCGAGCCTGTCAATGGCCGCCCGGAACGCGTCGGGGTCCTTGGCATGGTCGGCCGGGAACGACTCGAACGAGGTGTCGAGGTTGTTGTAGGCGAGGGTGATGTTGTTGTGCAGGTGGTCGCCTTTGGCCAGCGCATTAGCAGACCGACCTCGGGTCGTACGGGCTGGTGTTTTTTTCTCATGGCTGCTCACGGATCGCCGGGAACTTTGTTCCATTGACACCAACCATGCCCAGCTTGCCAACCTTTCCCCTACGCCTGAGATCAAACATGGAAAGCCCGACAACGCCAACTTTCTTGTCTGAGCCAGACGCTCCGGTGCCGACAAACCCCGTCGTGTACTCCCCCGTGCCGACCTATTCACATACGGCTGGTTAGTGTTAGGACTCATTGAATAAGGGCCATTTCTAACATGCCATCAAGACATTGAGCGGCTCCATTCTAGACTTAGCACGTGGTAGGCTATAAGTCGTTTTGTGGCTTTGATGGCGATCGACAGGCGGCAACACGTGCAGTTTGGGGGAAGAAGCGAGGAGCAGACCGAGATGTACGTTTGGCTACCTATGTACGGAGTAGAGACAATCGAGACATGAGATGGCAGCAGGCGGCGGCACTGGCACCGTGTCCGGGCCGAAGCTAGGAACCGGGTAATATCCACCAATGCGGTGTACCTTGCATGCAACGGCGGAAAACGGCCATGACATGACATGACCTGACCTGACCTGACCCCGTGCTCGACTCCTCGACCCGCAGCGACAGGTACAAACTCGGCGGGAAAGAGGGGACGGACCCAGTGGGCACGCGAGCGGGTTTCTATAGACGTAGAGTATCGAAAAGAAAAGAGGGTTTGGCAGTGGGAGAACCTGGGCTTTTGCTATTCTAGATC